GGGAGCCGAGGGGTCCCTCCGACGATGGAGTAGGTATATATGGGCGTCCAGCCGCGTTCAGAATACCAGATTCATGCAAGTTAGCCCTCCCCACGAGGCGGGTGGTATGCTTTGAAAAATTCATCGCGGACGACCTAGCGGTGGAGAGTTGAGGGGCCTGGTCTCGCGGCTTTTCAATCATCAATCGGGCAGTACGCTGGAATCGACTACCATTCACACCTCGGATCGGTTACAATCAACGCATTGGCTCATTTTTTGGAGAACGTGTTCCCTCCGCAAGGTTCGTGCGATTCTTTCACTATTCTCCGATTAAATTTTTATTCGTTTCTTTTCGTTAAGTGAAATTCCCTTCTATTTTTTCTTTTGTGCTGAAAGAAATTTAATAGGAAATCATCAAGAAAGTTTTGTCTTTGTTTAACAAGAGAAAGAATAGTGTGATATAAAAGTTACGACTTTGAAAAAGTTTTCTTCGACGTTGTTTATTTTAGTTCTGGAGATGATTGTTTAACAAGAATTATATGTATAATATAATTCAAAAGGAGAGGCTTAAGAGAATGGAACAAGAAGTTTTCATTGACGAAGTTTCTGACAACTTTTTCAAAAAAATGAATTCGTTGTAATTGAATATATAATAAGTAGCAAAAATGCATTATTATTTTATCATAATGTCTTATTTTTTTACCTTAATCTTAAATTTCAATAATCATTTGCAACTGTGGAATACTGTGGAATACTACATTTTATGCATAATTGTTTATTTTATATATATTTTTCTATCATAAACTTAATGACAGAACTTTATGGGTTATTTAATAATTTCTTCTTTTAATTTTTCATTATCAGACGGATTTTCAAGATTTTTCCTGTGAATTTCATTAATCGAAACAAATTCTTTATATATTTTCAATAAGAGACATCTTATGTACGTAACAAAAATTTATCGAAACACATTTTCCGATGATAAGATAAAAACAATGAATATAGTGTTTAACAATCTATTAAATGGTCTATTAAATGTTTCGACACTCCTTAATCTCTTCCATTATTGATCCACTTCAAAAACCATTCGATATTTTATAATCTTTGTGTCTTGTTTAAATAAGATTGAAAGATAAAACTCAACGAATTCTTTAAAATTTCGTACCTACATTTAACAATACGAGGAGGAATCTATGAAAAAAATACAATATCAAATTGTCATTAACGTTGTTTCGGAAGATCAGTACCTGACGGCTTGACTGGCAAACATTGTCCTCTTTGCGGTCACTTCCACCTACGAGAGTAGCATTTTTAATGGCTAAACGCTATCATGAGGATTCAAGTAGCGGCGCGTGTCTTTGTCCTCGAGTGAATCAGCACAGCAATGCTCGCATCCAATTTCGATTTCGCGTTATATGATGATTAAAGATTCACACAACGATCAAACAAGCTGCTTCGACTAAAAATATGCAAATGCCAATATTAATAAAAAACTTAATTGGACAATAATTCTATCGTATTATGGCTTTAAATGTTCAACACTTTCAAGGTCTTTTAAGATTAATATATTATGTATTTACAAGTACTATACTATACATTCTATGCATTCGCAAAAAATATTCTGTCTCAAGCTTGTTAGCAATCCAGTAAAGAGATAACAAAAATATTAAGCATGTACTAGTTGTGAATGATTTACGATTGTTTTTCAAGATATGTGATCAATCATCAGTGCAATTGAACTCGGAAAAAGTTCGCAGTCATCATAATGCGAAGCATATCTCATTCTTCGTATATTTTTCTTTTCCGGTATCCGTACACGCGTGTCTTAAGTGCAGGACAGGTTTGCACGCACATCACACAAATGATGCATCCAGCAATTCTGGTTTTCAGATATCGATGCACGTGTGTAGCATATATCTGCTTTTAATTACGATAATTTGTAATTGTCAGATTAATTGTCAAACACTGTCTCTGTATTTAATCTATTGTATGTTATTTGCTAATTAAATCCGATTCGATCAATAACTTTGTATTCCTTCATGAATATTTTTATAATTTTTTCATAGAGGCAAAAACCACTTTTCTTACTATTATATTAATATTGAGAAGAAGTAAAATTAAAGGACACAAATACACTTAATGATCTTAATCATTATCATTCGAGTATGATCGATTAGATTCACTTATTATTCACGAACATTATTATTATTTTTGTTTTATTGGCAACAATCTTTAGATTTACCGATGTTGCTAGCTTTTAAAGGATCTATAAAAATTTTATGTTATTTCAACGTTTTCAGATTATAATTTCGAAAAATGTTTTTTTAGCGATGATTCTCTGGCTAACCTTAATCTTCGTGACTTCGGTGGCTTCAGGACCACCTTATCGAAAGACAATACCTGATATATTACAACCACCTCCATGGGACTCTGTAGAAGAAACAGACGTAGAAATCATCAACGTGCCATTGTTTCAACGTGATGCTGTCGAAGGTCCACCAATGATCGATTCACCATCGTTAGATCCCGCCATTACTCACGAGGATTACGGATCTCGAAGGTTTCCTTTGCGCGATGCAGTCGAAGCGTTGCCCTCAAATAAGATCGATTCTCAAGTCGATAATTTACCCCTGCAGAATTTCAGAGAGTCAGTATTTATTAGACATAATAATACATATCTTATTTCATAAACATGATCTTCGATATCTTGAATTATTTCATTTGTAAATGATCGATAATCATCTTTCATGATTAATTTATCAACGATTGCGTGTCGAGATTGCGGATCGAAAATATATATGGAGTTACTCGATGTTTTCTTCATTATCTTTTTGTTCGTTGGATAATTAATGAAGGATGATTTATGTTGCTTTAGTGGTCGAGTGCCTTTAAGAGATGCCGTTGAACATCGTGAAGCTCCCTTCTTTGGGAACGTCGATCACGAATCGATTTGGATCGAACCATTAGCTCCGCCAACGTTAACAAGAATGGAACAAATCATTAATCCAAAAGTGGTTTGCTATTTGAACTCTAGTGCAGTACACAGAGTAGAGCCATTTTCTTTGTTTCCTCAATCCATACCACACCACCGATGCAGCCATTTGATATACATCGCAGCCACTTTAGGTAATTCAGTTTTTTCGATATTATATCGAATCGATTTGTTCATATTAATAAATACGTATACCGTAAATGACGAATAAAATTTTCTCAGATCCAGAGAAGATGGTTATCGTCTCGAGAGATCGCGAATATGACGAGATCAAGGGTAAAGTTGTAAATCATTAATTATTTCGCGGAAAGGATACGTTAAAAATCCGAGTCCCGTTAATTTATTCCGTTCAATTCAAATATAGGTGGATACAAAACAGTAACGGGACATCGATCGAGGGATCCAGCGTTGCAAGTGCTCGTCTCGATCTCGGTTCCAAACCGAGGAAAATTGTTCTCTGAACTAACCAAAAGCTATTGCGCTTTCCACTGTGAAAAATTTGCCAAATCCATCATAAACTTTCTCCAAACGCACGACTTCGACGGAGTGGAAATCGATTGGGAAGGATCGGCGAATCATTCGAACGATTTGAAACTGTTGTTGAGGACAATTAGAAAGTTTTTCGTTGATCAACAATACATTCTTGCAGTGGTTCAAAGACCAGAAGATCCGGTGGATCAAGAAATTAGTTCTGTGGCAGATCTGCTTCTTCTGAGAGCGTGGAGGGATAGTCCAGCTTTCAGAAGGGAAAAATTGGCACTTCATCCGGCTCCTCTGAAATACGTAGCTCGAGTGACTAACAAATGGATCGACCGTGTGCCGAGAGAACACAGATCAAAGATCGTTCTTGGTTTATCTGTGTTTGGCCAAGGATATACTTTGAAATTCGAGAATTTTACGGATGCTGGCGCGCCTATCATTGGACCAGGAATCGAGAATACATATGACAAGCAGAAAAACGGAAGGATGGCTTATTACGAAGTAATTGTTCGATATTATTTATTTTAACCTAAAAAAAGATTCTTTCTTTTTATTTATATTTATCATTGCGTCCAGATATGTGAGAAACTGGAAGATGGATTGTGGATTGCCGGAAGAGATGAAGAAGGACCGTACATAAAACGTGGAGATCAATGGGTCGGTTACGAGGATCCATTGACGGTGAAAATCAAAGTAGCGTACATTAGATCGATGAAGCTTGGCGGAGTTTCTTTGTGGTCTCTCGACTTGGATGATTTTCAAGTTAATAAATTGTTTTCTCTTCTCTAATTTCTCGCACTCACTCTTAATATAAAATTAAAAAAAAAAATTAAATGTTGCTATTAGGGTATTTGCGGAAATTCGTGGCCCATGTTAAACGCTGCAACGGAATCGATAGGCTTTTACGACGAGACACAATTGGGAAAATGTTCCACAGATGGACTTTCTATCGATCCCCAGAATTGTTCGGGATTTTATTCTTGTCACAATGGTAAGTAATCTGATTGTAAACAAATTCTGAATCTTTTTAATAATATTGATTAATTTACAAAGATCGAATTAATTTTTCTATTAAAAAAAAAAAAAACTTAATGGACAATATTTTTTACTTAATTAATCATTGTGTATACAGGAGTACGATATCGGGGCCAATGCGGACCTGGGAAATATTTCAATTCGAACAATGGTCGTTGCATAAAAGCGAATTCGAATGTTTGTAAATCTGGCCAATTTAATCGAATTCAAGGAGATCGTTATCAGAGTGAAATAAGAGAGTCACAAAAATTGCAACATTTAGAGATCTCGTCGGAAAAGGGTCCCCGAGTAGTTTGCTACGTGACTTCATGGTCGTTATATCGCAAAGGAGATGGATTATTTGTTCCAGAACGTCTAAACCCTCGTTTATGTACCGACATAATTTATGCGTTTGCTGGATTGAATCCTGATACGTTGCTTATTCAACCGTTGGATCCCTGGGTTGACATAGAATATAGTAAAT